ATATGGTAAAAGGAGTTAAGAGGAAAGCTTGAATTTGCCTAGAGAATAGGGTTAGTTAAAGCAAGCTGGCTAATCTCAGTCTTCTAGTCAACTTTGTTTTGGACCTTGTATGAGCTTGCTGTACAGTGCTGTTCCTTATCTGCCACGTATCAAGTTAATTGCCTGTGCAGAAAGTGTCAGTAGTCTGAGCAGAAGAATGTTACTTCAAGTGGAATTATCCAGAGAAATCTAGCTGAAGGAAAACATGCTTTTATTCCACTCTTTGTGATAAATGTTAATGCTGGGTTAATTTAAGCTTTTGAGACTGTTAGCTAGGCACTAAAAGTAGATGCTGAAACGTTTTAAAGACTATTGAAACTGTCTGAACATCTATCTTGATGCTTTTATAGGAATCCATCAGTAGAAGAAGGATTAACTATTTTTTTAGTTGATTGATAATCCCAAAACTAAGTAATATTTCAGCTGGAATTTGTAAACTATTTAGACTCATGTAAAATCTTAGACTTCAATAAATGTTGAATTCAGTACTGATAACATAGAAATAACTTTCAGCAAACATCAACAAAACAAATTTGGGAGTGCATTCATAACAGTATAAGTGAAATTAAGATTATTTAACACTAGGATTTTTGGGGTTTATTGTTGGTATGCCTTTATGATGATGTGCTGTCAAAATAGTTCAACTTTTATAGCTTTGTAATTTTTGTTTGTGCTCTGTTTGCTTATAATCTTTTAATTAGATGCAATTCAAAAGATTTTTCCTTACAACAGCATACTTCTTTGTGTGTGTATAGTTACAGGAAAAATATATTGGTGGTGATTTTATAAAATCTGGTTTATTTTAGATGATGTAAATGACTTGAAATTTGTTGGGCATTAAGTCATAGAACACTGGAATTTTCTCACCAGAACAAGCAGACCTGTGCTTCAACTAACCCAGTACCCTGTCTGAGGTGATAGCTGTTAACAGATGCCAGACAAGAATGTGTAAGAAATCCTGTGTTAGACATTTACTCACATGGGGAATTTCTTCCTAAGTATTGTCAATGGTAGCTTTATATCTTGAAGCATGACAGTTTAAGTTTCATTAATACATTAGTTATGGTGAAAAATTAGTTAATGGGAGATGATCTATTTCAGTTTGCAATATGCACTTATGTGATACAGAACGGATCTGATAAATTCTTAATTACATTTTTCCTAAGAATTTTTTTAATTGTTTGCTATTCTTAATTTTAATTTCTCATATAAGGTGGTAATTTGAGTCCTCTCATTTCTTCTTTATGTATCTCAGTAATTTTTTAAAAATTGGTTTCTCTTTTCTTCTCTAAACAAAACATCTCAACTCAAATGGGAATCACCTCATGGTTGGCTCAGAACTTCCTGTTTCAGATGTTACTTTAAAGGGAAAGAATAATGATAACTGAAGAGGTTTTTTTGAGTGATAAATCAATGTTCCCTCTGCAGACTTCAAAAAAAATGTTGGGAAGCACATCAGTCTGTCTCCAAGATCTAGGTCAGTCAGTATCTCTAGTCTAACCAAACTGACATCTTCATAATGTACATTTTGCTACTTCTTCCTGCCTTTCTAGTTACAAGTATATCTGGCATTG